AAAAAAAACAACACTCAGTATCACAATGAATAAACCGGTTTTCTTTTAAAAACGTTCCAATGTTCTGAAAGATGATTATCAGATGGAGCAAAGACAGAAGACTGAGAAGGATGAAAGAAACATTTTTCTTATATAATATCGTAATCGTAATCTTTTTTGAGTGACCCGGGCAATATGCGGTTTTGCATCATCACATGAGAGCAATATGCATTTACGATTAACCAATAATTGGCGTTTTTCTTTTTCTGCAAAGTTTTGTGGAACGGTTTCGAACTGACGACAGTACTTCTCCGCATTAACTCTTTCATTTTGCTTTAGCCCTTCATATCCAACCAAACAATAGGGATTAAAATTTTTCGGGTGTAATCCTAGTTTGGAGATAGATTATCCTTTATTAGTGAGTGCTAACTATTGTCGTTTGAGTTGGATATGATCATAGAGATCTCGCTTTTCTTCACCAGTGATGATTAGGTTCGGTATCAAGTCTGCCCTTAAATATCGAACAGAGACCTACACTTCAATAAGTGATCAGAAGACGAGGAACCCATAGGTCAAATTTAAACACCTTTTTTTCCTGATGCTGCTTTATGATCGATGTGTGATTTGTATTGAACCGTTTTGCTAGTTCTCGTGCAGCTCGATCAGGATTTCTATCGACTTTGGCTTGCAGAAACCCAGTATTGACAGTATTGGCCATCAAGAGACAGGGGAATCCGATAGAAAGGATTTCCCGATTGAAACTACGGAAACAATTGCTGGCATAGTTGAACACTTCAAAGTTTCAAAACTAATATTTCTTGCCGCTTCCCTAGCTGAAGAGCCTTTTTGAAATCACACTGCATTGTGTGTCTGTTATGGACCTTTTCCAAATTCATTCTAAATGATTAAAACCGATAAAAAATTTTCCCACTCTGTTATTAAGTGTTGTATCCTTAAAGAAGGTTACAAATAGACAAAGATGGTAATCGAGTGAAAGGAACAGTAACACGGGTGTAGATGTAAGAAGAGAGGATTATTGTAAAAGAGAATACACTACTGAAAGACAGGGAATCGGGTGACAGGCTAATAATTCCCGAAGCAAGGTTATTTACCTTACCGCCTCTCGAGGCAGGATGTGGCACAAGGCCGCTTTTTAATGCGAGTCAAAAGCGAGCCCGTCAGCTCGGGCAAAAATTCCCCGTATACACGGGGTCGGGTAATTGTCTACCACCCCAGACGAGACTCTACCCTTCGGCATAGCCTCATCTAGGCTCATCTCTGCTCGAAGGCAGAGAGTTCGATCAGCACAGCTGGAGAAGTATCTCCAACTAATTCCCGAAGCAAGATTATTTGCCAACCACACGCAGTCAGATGTGGCACAAGGCCCAATTTAACTTGGGGTATCCGAGCTAATTGACGAAGCAAGGTTATTTACCTCACCTCCCCGCGAGGCAGGATGTGGCACAAGGCCGTTTTTAATGCGAGGTTAAAACCGAGCCCGTGGGCTCGGGCATAAATTCCCCGCAGACCCCGTTTTCTCCCCAGACTAGAATCTGCCCTTCGGCATAGCCTCGTCTGGGTTCCTCTCTGCCCGAAGGCAGAGAGTTCGACTAGTTTAGCAGGAGACGAATCTCCAACTAATTGCCGTAGCAACTATGTTTACCAACCGCCCCACTTAGTCAGATGTGGCACAAGGCCAAATTTAATGGGGTATCCGAGCCTGTATGCTCATTCAAAAATTTTACGTAGACCTCGTCTAAAACGGAGTCGGGTATCTGTTTCCCGAGTCGAGACACTGGCTTTCGACATAGCCTCATCTCGGGATCCTCTCTGCCCGGAGGCAGAGAGTTTGACCAGCACAGCTATAGACGAATCCCCAATTGCAGACCATCATACAGTATTTACTACTGTATTTATGTGAATGGGGACATACCCATTATCGTCCGTAGGTAAGCTACAACACAAACCTAATACGAAATGATCCAATTTTCGAAATACCAAATGAGTAGACATGTGAATTTGAAATAGGTCACAGGGCTTACAAAAGGTTAAGCAACACTGAAAATTGCAAAAATGATAAGCTGGTTGGAGTGCGTTGAAGATTCTGGACGACCGCGACGTCGGCATGTTAAAGGCAAGTTTTCAGAATTTATCTCGTCTATCTGTGTCCCTTAGTAAAACAGAAGTTATAATGATCCATTTTTTTCATCTGAATTTCTGGGATGAGGAGTTATCTACATTATCTATATTCGGACTATTGGAGATAGGGACAATAGTCCGAATATAAACTTTGCAAATACGAAGATTCGTTTTTGTCAAATTATAAAAGCGAGGATTTTTAATAATATTCTTATGTATTTTCGCATCGAGTTAATATATAAAAAAGAACAAGATAACGCGTCCTTAATCAAGAATCAAAACACACACACAGACCCTAAGCACTTCCCTTTAAATTGAATGAAATAAATAAGAGAATATACAAACGCGCTATTCACGATGTAGCAGGCAGATGGAACCTTGGCTGGGTGACTTCAGGCAGAAACAGGTTTTACAGAAACATCGCTTGAAAATTATCACCCGAAATCTTTTAACGTTAGTTTTTATTTAGGCTTCAAAACAACTGATGGGAAATGTACAGTAACTTCCGGTTTTAAGTAAGTTAATAAATTTATTCGTTTTGCGTTCAATAACTATTGTTTTAAACATTTTAAACCAAGCAAGGTTTTATTGCCACTATATGCAAAGGGTTACTGAGTGTTAAAGAATGCGACAAAAAAAAAAAACAAAAAAAAAAAACAACAAAACAAAAAAAACAAACCAAATCGAACAACACTATTAAGGAGAGAGAACAATAAAAGAAAATAATTAAGACAGAAGATAACAATTGACACTGCATTTAAATCTTTGAAGATAAAACTGAACTGAGAAGGAAGAAGCAGGAAGAGAGATCCACAAGCGAGAAGTGCGACAGAAGAGACTTATCATAAAAATTACGGCTATGTCTAGTTATTTTGACTGTAAAATGATGAGACCTTTCCGTCAATCTAGTACTGCATCTAAATTCATAAAGTCTAGGTACCATAGAGGGAAATCCATCACAACATTTACCATAAAAGTATTAACAGAAAAAGGGACTGGAATCTATGTTGCGGCAATGGGAATGTGATTGAAATTGAGATGCCAGGACAGGGCCATTGGCATTGCAGATTCTTCACTGGATTTTATCAAGAGTCTTTAAATATGTAGCAGGAGCACAGGACCAGATATGGCGGCAATATTGAAAGCAAGGACGAATGGTAGACTTATAAATATGTAAGATAGATTCTGTCAAGAAAAATTGACTCGAACGACACAGTGAACCAACTTTCTTAGCAGCAGACCTAGAAATTGATTTATCACGTCATCCCATAAGTTCTGTCCGAATTTTAACATTTTGTTAAAATGAACGAAATTTAAAGAGTATTTTATAATGTCTAATGGAGCTGAACATTATTTTTATGTTTAGATGTATTTAAACTGATCAAATTTTATTTCAGAGAACAATAAAATTAAATTTTGTTTGATTAAAACCCTGCTAACATGGAAGTACCCAAGAATCATTTGAGGCACATAATGCTTTATGAGTTGAAGAAAGGAAACTCAGCAGCCGAAGCGGCTAGAAACATTCACTCAGTTTATGGAGAGGAATGTGTGAATGAAAGAACTTGCAGAAGAAGGTTTACAAAATTCAGAGGTGGAAATTTCACCCTTGAAGATGAAGATCGAACCAGACGTCCAGTTGAGTTTGATGAAAAGCTTCTTGAAGCAGCTCTTGAAGAAAATCCTGTTTTATCAGTTGAGGAATTAGCAGTGGTTCTCAGTTCAAACCAGACAATACTGAAAACAACCTCAAATCCCGAGTTGACATATGCTTTTCTCTCCATTCTCGCCAATTTGTTTCACCTTTTTTGAATAGACTTGTGACTGGCGACGAAAAATGGATCTTTTATCGAAATGTTAAGCGTCGTAGACAGTGGCTTGGTAAAGGGGAAGGACCCCAGCCACAGCCGAGAAGGGAACTTCATGGGCAAAAGGTTCTTCTTTCAATCTGGTGGGATCGCCAAGGAATAATCCACTTTGAATTCTTACCACCTAATGCAACAATCAAATATACTGTCAGCTATTAGAGCATTTGAACCAAGCTTTGAGGAAAAAAATACCTGCTCTAGTGAATCGAAAAGAGGTGATGATTCATCAGGACAATGCGCGACCCCGCACAGCAAGAATCACGTCACAAAAGATCGAAGAACTTGGTTGGGAGAAAATACCTCATCCACCTTATTCTCCCGATCTTGCTCCTTCAGACTACCATTTGTTTCGTAGCTTACAGAATCATTTGGAAGCAACAGCTTTTGTAACACAAGAAGTGGTTAAAACTGACATTTGTGAGTTCTTCGAATCAAAGCCAAAAGAAAGTTATGGAATTAGTAAGCTTGGAAGGAAGTCATAGATAATCAGGGAAAATACATTGTTGACTGAATCTGTAATTAAATGTAACTTGTTTTCTTTATTCAAAATTCGGACAGAACTTATGGGGTGACCTGATAACATAGTCTTTTCACTTCATGTCAGCAGAAAAGGTTAGTCCGAGAAGGCAGTATGAGTCAGACACCTTGAGGTTAGCATCAGCCATGCTGGTAGAAGGCAAAAAAGGTTATTCTCAGACGATTAAAAGTGAGCAGTTTCGTTTTGGAGGTGTTAAAATTTTAAAAAAAATCATTCCTTTACCCGGTTAACAAAAAGAAAGTGAAAAGACAGAATGAATTATATATATATATATATATATATATATATATATATATATATATATATATATATATATATATATATATATATATATAACTACTTCCCATCACTTAATAAGAGCAATGCGTGATTTCTAACCTGAAACGAATAGTATTTATCAAGCTGTCGACAGATGAGTGCTAAACTATTTCTGCAATAGTTTTCATTTCAAACTAATCTTCTGTGAATAACTGGTGATGTTCAATTCGTCTGTACACACGAGTGAGAGATCGCCCGAAAGCTCCGATGACTCGCTGCCAGGATTTGGCTGACCCTCCACTCTAACAAGCAGGTCACTGAGCAGCTCCCACCTTTCCTTATTCCCCGTGTACACTGCCAAATCCTGACGTTCCTCACTTGTCAGCAAGTCATTTTGCGAGGATATGTCTCGTGCACAATACATGACCCCTGACATCAAAATCCTCTTCGCAATTGAACGCTTTATCCGGTAAGAAAATATTGTCGAGGAAAAAGTTTACTGGACACAATTATCTAATTTAAAATCGTTGGTCGGTCCATTCGTGGTATGTGGTAGATTCGGGAAGTACATATGGTTGGTGAATAATTTTGTGTCTGAAGCATGCTTTTGTAAACATTGGCAATCGTTAATAATTCTGTTATGAAAGAAAGCGAAAAGATAGGATCTGAATATTTGAATTGGAATTAACTTCTTTTTTTTAATGTTGTCTTCGGTAATCTTTGAATTGGAATAAACTTCTTTCTTTTAATGTTGTCTTCGGTAATCTCTGATGTTCATTTAATGCGAAATATGTCTTCGAAAGTATGTGAGGCTTCGACTTGTAAACAGAATCATTTCATTTGCCAGATGAAAAAAGGTTATCAGCTTAAATTCTTATATCTCTACTTGATTTCAAAACAGAGCGATCTCGTCCCAAATTACTAAATGTGTCTACTCAAAGATATTTATATGGTTGTTGATTAGAATACAATTGTTAAAAATTAAATTAGTTCATTAGAAACGTGATAGAGATAGTAAAGGGTGAAATTAAACATTTCACTACAGGAAGATTTCGGCATTCATTAACCGAACAATTTTTAGGCAATTAGATTTTCTCAAGTCTACTAAACGTTATAGTTCTTTGGGAACAAGCCGCCTGCATAGAGATAGAAAATGATTTCAACATATATACAGCAATATAAAAAGGTGGAAGACAAGAATTCTCACTGGATTTATTCAACCTTTATAGTGAGGCGATTCTGAGAGAATTAGACGTCCTACCAGGATTCATTATTGGCAGCAACAATCATAACAACATAAGATATGCACGGTGGAATAATCGATAACGGCTCGGATTGAGGAATCGGAGAGTCGAGTTCGAATTCCAGTCAAATCCATTACATTCACTTTAGTGAATGTAATGGATTCGACGAAGTTCTCGAGAATATGGAAACAAAAAGGAAACTTATACTTAACAACAGGAAGAGACAGCTGAAATTTCTAGGGCACGTAATGAAGAAAATGGGCTTGGAAAATATGATACTCAGAGAACAGATTGAAGGCAAATCAATACGTTTCCCGCGTAGCCAAGTGGTTAGAATGTTCGCATTCTGACCATGAGACCCGGGTTCGAATCTCACCATGGTCGATTTGTCAAGAAGGAAACTTCCAGATGTTATCGGACTGGAGGGGTCGATCCCAGCGTGCGGCACCTTTGGAAAATGCCTGAAAACTATGACCCCCAAACCTTGTGAGTGAAATTGGGCAGACGGAACCCTTGGGGTCCGTCGATAGGTGTGCTAGCATGACGTCATCGTGGCCTTGTTCAAATTGTTGATCATGCTAGATAACATGCTCTTTCCCAGAAACTGTAACTAAGCTCTGCTCAGCATAGTTGCAGTATAAACCACAGGTGGGTTTTGTGGGTGTTGAGCAAATACAAATGCGCCTGATATCCTATCTTCGAATACGAGTGGCCATCTATACTACTACTACTACCCTTGGGAAAGGAATGATCCCTCTTCTCCCTTCACTTCTATAGCCTTGGATGGCAACTGCGGGAAAAAATCTGCCTCGTCAGTCATGTATCGAAAGATACAAGTCCTGTGTCGAAAGATACATGATCACCTAAGTGTGTATCGCGCATGACACATAACTGACTGATCAGGATTCCCTATTGGCAGCAGCAATCTTAACAACATAAGATACAGCAGGGTTGAATAAGTGATCGTACAGATGAAAATATTTTATATTTTTATTTGTAACATATTAAATTAACAAAGCGGGAACATATCTACTGTATCAGATTGCATAATTATCAGTTATCGATGTATTTCTGATTCTATGCTCCCAAATACATATATAACATTGTTATTCGAGTTTTTCATTCGCTATAAGTGAGAATAACAAACATTTGTTTGCTGTACGATCACTTATTCAACCCCACTGTATGCAGCTGACACAGTGTATCTGGCAGGCAGAGAAAGAAAGCTACATAAACCCCTACAGAAGATAGTGAAGGAAAGCGGGAAGAAAAGATTAAACATCAACTGCAATGGTAGCTACTAAAAAGTTGATCCCATATTACACATCGGAAATAGCAAAATCAAACAAGTAAAAAAATAAATAAATAAAATATTTGGGAAGTGTTTTAAAAGAGGACGGAAGGCACGATACTGAAATCCAAAGGCATATTGGTAGAGACAAAGGTGCATTCCAAAAGCTAAGCAAAGTATTAAGAAACAGGAAAACATCGTTAGAAACAAAGGAAAGTTACGTGAAAGCCTGGCAATCTTCGCAAAGATGAAGAAGATTGGAAACAATAGAAATGTGGTTCTACAGAAGGATGCTGAGAAAACCATGGGCCTAATATGTGAGCAACGACGAAGTTCTAGTGAAAATGGAAACAAAAAGGTAATTTATATTTAACATCAGGAAGAGGCAGCTGATATTTCTGGGCTTGGAAAATCTGATACTCACAGGTCGGAAAGCAACGAGCGTCATTATGGGTTTGAACAAGTGGACGGCGGAACAGCGTCTAGGAGAAATAACGAAAGGCCAAAACTTATTAAGAACTAAAAGGAAGATGTGGAGGGTCATGAAGGGACGCAGCACATAAAAGAAGTAAAAAGGCTCTAATAAACGTCGAATTGGTTAAGCATCTTCCTTCTCACGATCTCTTTTCGGACAAGCAATATGGCTTCCGCCGATGTGGTAACGGCCATCACGGTCATCAGTGTCATAACAGTAATCGCTGAATTTGTCCATCAAGTTTTAGATAAGAACGGCAAAGGTCCAGCTATGGCTTTAGATACCTCAAAGGCATTCGTCGGTGTTTGAAAATTTTCGCAAGTTTAATGGCTACGGTGCCGCGGGACGAATATTTTGCTTAATCCAATCTAAGAAAAGATTGGTTGTTACGTGATATGACAATGGAAGCTTGGCAATCTTCCTTAAAGATGAAGAAGAGACTACAGAAGGATGCTGAGAAAACTATGGACCGAATATGTGAGCAACGACGAAGTTCCCGAGAATATAGAAACAAAAAGGAAACTTATATTTAACAACAGGAAGAGACAGCTGAAATTTCTAGGACACGTAATGAAGAAAGTGGGCTTGGAAAATATGATACTCAGAGAACAGATTGAAGGCAAAACGGACAGAAAGAAAACAACGAATGACATACATAGTGAGCTTGAGTAAATGGATGACGGAATAGAAAAAATAACAGAAAGACGATTAAAAGCTACAAGGGACAGGTAGTTGTGGAGGGCCATGTTTGTTTACGTCCTGAGAGTAAGCGGCACATAAAGAAGAAAAATTAACATGGAAATAAAAAAAATGTTTGACATAAAATCCACTCTATAAAAAAAACAAAACAGTTATTATAAATTATAGAGGGGAAAATATAAATTATAGAGGGGGAAAAATCAATTCTTAGGTTACATGTCCTGCTTTAAGTATGTTTAATGCACAGCCAACTGGGATAATTGTCTTGATAACTTCCCCAACTCTATAAGGTTTCTTTTAATAAAATATACAGCAATTTTTATGCTTTTCTTCTTTCCTTTCAATAGAAGATCAACTTGACACTGATTCCGGCCAAGACCAACCATCATCATTTTCGCAAAGTGATCAGCAGCAGCAATCGCAGCAACAGCAGCAGCAGCAACAACAACAACAACAATCCCAGCAGTCTCAACGCTGGATCCCTGATGCAGCTGATGATGATGATGATGCCACAGTTGAGGTTAGATTTCTATTTTTCAACAACAATTCAAAAGATTTGTAAGTTTTTAGGCATGCTCCAAAGGTCACTCTCTCTCTCTCTCTCTCTCTCTCCTCTGCCCTACCCTCTTTTTGCTATATATAAACAATTTGTCTAAGAACATTCTCAAATCATTAGTATAGATATATGTAGACAATAGCACAATTTATGGGAGAACCACTCAAAATCTAAATGACCAGAACCTGGCAGCTGACCTCTATTCTGACCTTGCTTACAAAGCTCAATGGGAGAGGAACTAGCTTTGTAATATTCAATAGCTCCAAAGCAAAGTTAGTCATGTTTCATTATCACAGAGCAGACCCAGTCATGAATGGTTGTACTCTCAATGTCACTCCTTTACTGGCACATCTATTGGGACTCAAGCTCACACCAGACATCATGTGGAACTGATGTGATCCATTTTACTAAAGATGCTTGAAAAATGGTCTGCTCTAGAGAGTATTTGACTCCTCCTGACAGGTTTTATCTCTACAAGAGTCAGATAGGATCAAAAATGGTATATTGCTGCAACGTCTGAGCCAGAACTGCCCAATCCTCACTTTCTGGCCTCGATCGAGTTCAAAAGCATTTGCCCAGCCTTGTGAGTGATGAATTGTTTTCCACCGATGGAAATAAAAAAATAACTGTTTGGCATAAAATCCACTCTATATAAAAAACACAATTCTTAGGTTACATGTCCTGCTTTAAATATGTTTAAGGCACAGCCAACTGGGATAATTGTCTTGATAGCTTTCCCAACCGTCTGTTAATGAAACTCACAGCAATTTTTATGCTTTTCTTCTTTCCTTTTGACAGAAGATCAACTTGACACTGATTCCAGCCAAGACCAACGATCATCGTTTTCGAAAAGTGATCATCAGCAGCAATCGTAGCAACAAGCACCAACAACAATCCCAGCAGTCTCAACGTTGGAACACAGCTAATGATGATGATGATGCCGCTATTGAGATTAAATTTTTAGGGGAGTTATGACTCTGAGTAAATAATTATACCCCCCCCCCCCTAACATTTATATATACAAAAATACTCGTAAAAATGAGAAACAGCAAGACGTAAAAACAATAAAATGTGTATTATTTATTATCTGGTTTTTATGTGGTGTTGGAGACACAAGAGACGGTAACACTGCGTAAAATTATTAGTTTGGGGTCAAATGTACATCAAATATGGATCGGAATCTGACAGAATGAATAAGTAAAGTGTATACAGTCTCTATCGTATATTTTTTTTTTATAGAGATGTGTATAATGAGTGTCGAGATATTTTCGTTTTCGTTCAAGAGTCTGCTGTTTTTTTACTTTGAATTTTTGTAAAATGCTAAAAGCTAAATGTTACTATTATGTCCTGAAAAAGGAAAAGGAGATGAAATTGTCGTTCATGCATGATTTGACGGGATGTCCATGTTTGACTGCTTGTCTGATAGTATGAATGTCACGTTCTTGTGTATATAGGGGAGAAAATTGGGGTCCATTCTTATTCATTTACAAAGAGTGAATTAATGACAGGTATAATTGTTATAATTATTTTGTTATAATTATTTTTGACGCTATAATTAATTTTTATTTATTTACTTTTTTTGTGGACACACAAAAGTGACAGTATAATTAATTTTTTTTTATTTATGCATCTTTATGTACATGACAGATTTCTATTTTCCAGCAATTATTCAAAAGATTTCTAAGTTTTTAGGTATGTTCCAAAGCTCTCTTTTTCTCTCTTCTCGGTCTTACCACATTTTCTGCTATATGTTAGTAATCTAAAAACACTTTTCAGATCACTAGTATTTAAAAACCGAATTAATATACAGAAAATAGAGCAGATTGTTGTCAATGTTTTTATTGCATTTACTGTTCAGTACACTTGTGTACTGTATAAACATTTAGTAACAAGCCGGAAATGACACACAAGCTGTAATATCGCTTTGGTAAGGGATTCCACTGGCATGGCCAATTTCAATGTCTTTTAAGCGAACATTTCCCGTTTAGGCTTTTTGTTTTCTTCTTATCTATATCTATAAAACAGAAGGTGTCTGTATGTGTGTATACTATTTATACAAGTACACATTTCTTGATCGATTTCGATGGAATTATACATACATATTGAAAATTTATTAAAAAAAAGTCAAGATCACTCTTTCAATCTCCAGCACCTCGTGTTTGGCAAAAAAATCGATAAAACTGAAGGTGGGTACGATTTTTTCAAAAAAACGAGGCAAAGTTACACGCGAACTAATTTTTTACTGAATGAGCTGATGTTCTTTGCACTTAATGCAAAATATAACTCATGTTACGAGGTTTATGTAGAGTGCTTGATAGTTTTCCTGCAACATTGCAAAACACTGTAATAAAATTGGGTTTTTCGTACTACTTAAAATAAAAACTTGAGTAACTATCTCATTTTTTATCCGATTTTCTTCAAACATGTTGCAAAGAATTTGCCATCATGCAAGAAATAAGAGTATGGTTTTAGTTCTGCTCGCTTCCCTGCGGATAACGAAAACCACGAAAAACTGTTCAAAAAGCACGTTTTTCGGTCGTAACTCCTTGGTTCTTCATCAGATGCTTTCCAAATTTTCCATGTAAATTACATATGACATTGGTTTATATTATTTAGGTAGACAAAATCTGCGAAAACTAGGTTCAAAATCGACCTTTGTCATTTAGCTTCTTCATATGATTCCATCTTAAATTGGCATTCGAACAATCTTTGATGCAAAGATTGTTTGAGAAGGATTATTGAAGCGTTGAAAGGAAAAATCCCGAAGAATCTCTTATTAACGCTAACCTAGTAAAAGTGAGGAGGCGTCCATGCGTTTGCACTTGCAGTTGAATCAAGTTCTGAAACTTGAACCCTGTTTTTCTTTGATTATTATATTTGAGAACAATGCTATACTATTTCGAAGTTATTACGGCCATAGGAAATTTACTAAATATCTAAACATTTTAACCCTGACCAACGACCACACAAGAAGTTTTTAACGATGTAATTCATTTATCAAGAACAATCAAACACTTGCGAAGGACTTAACATAAAAAAGTACGTGGGGGGAATGGCTTAGTATACCAACGGATGACGCATGCAAACAATTCTAGACAGTGGGGTGCGGGTATACAGGGGGTGGCAGTTATACGATTGCAGTCATGTACACACGGGCAACACCGGGTACTTCGTCTAGTTCTTGATATTCACTAAGTTTAACTTAGTGTAGCACAATGCCAAATCATAACAGGAAGATTGTATTCCGCCTGTTTTCTAAATGTGAAGAGTTTTCCTGCCTAAAAAGAAATCAATATTCGACTTGAGAATTCTGTCTGTTGAAAATAGCTTAACGTTAACTTTCGTCCACATCCATTCAGCTTACTATATATTTTATAATTAAAGAATAAATTCACTTTTTCCGCTGGTTTGTCTCTTTTAGTTTAAAAATGCAATAAGTTATTCTCAGTTCTG